GGAGCAGCCGCCGTCGGTGGCCGAGGGCTATGCCTCCCAGGACGTGTTCAGCGTCACTGAGACCAGTTTGTGGTACGACTTTCTGCCCGATCAGGCCGCGGGGCTGTGCGGCGGCAGCGACGGGCGGGCTCGCAGGGCCACCCAGCGCCTGAGTGTGTTGTTGTGCGCCAACGCCGACGGCAGCGAGAAGCTGCCCCCGCTGGTGGCGGGCAAGTCAGCCAAGCCCCGTGCAGGCCAAGCGGGCCTGCCCTGCGACTACACCGCCAACTCTAAGGGTGGTGTCACCACCCAGGCCCTGGCCAAGTACCTGAAGGCCCTAGACACCCGTATGGCTGCAGAGTCTCGTCGAGTCCTGCTGCTTGCCGGCCGCCTGGCCGCCCAGTCCGTGGATACTTCAGGCCTGCGGCATGTGCAGCTGGCCTTCTTCCCGCCGGGCACGGTGCAGCCGCTGGAGCGGGGCGTGGTCCAGCAGGTGAAGGGCCACTACCGCCAGGCCATGCTGCTCAAGGCCATGGCCGCGCTGGAGGGCCAGGACCGCTCGGGCCTGCAGCTGGGCCTCGTGGAGGCGCTGCACTTCGTGGCTGCAGCCTGGCAGGCGGTGGAGCCTTCCGACATCGCCGCCTGCTTCCGCGAGGCCGGCTTCGGGGGCGGCCCGGACGCCACCATCACCGCTGCCCTCAAGAGCGAGGGGGAGGAGGAGGAGGAGGAAGAGGAGGAGGACGAGGACGAGGAGGAGGGGGAAGGGGAGGAGGAGGAGGCGGAGGAGGGCGAGGAGGGGGAGGAAGAGGAGGAGGGGGGCGAAGGAGAGGAGCTGGGAGAGGAGGAGGAGGTGGAGGAGGAGGGCGACGTGGATGACAGTGAGGAGGAGGAGGAGGAGGAGGAGAGCTCCTCCGAGGGCTTGGAGGCCGAGGACTGGGCCCAGGGCGTCGTGGAGGCCGGCGGCAGCTTCGGGGGCTACGGCGCCCAGGAGGAGGCCCAGTACCCCACCCTCCATTTCCTGGAAGGTGAGGCAGACTCTGAGTCGGACAGTGAGGAAGAGGAGGACGACGATGACGACGATGACGATGATGACGATGACGAAGATGAGGAGGAGGATGGTGATGAGGTGCCTGTGCCCAGCTTTGGGGAGGCCATGGCTTACTTCGCTATGGTAAAGAGGTACCTGACCTCCTTCCCCATTGACGATCGTGTGCAGAGCCACATCCTCCACTTGGAACACGATCTGGTCCATGTGACCAGGAAGAACCACGCCAGGCAGGCAGGAGTTCGGGGTCTTGGACATCAGAGTTGAGCCACTGGGCTTAGCCATGCCCTTAACCCGATGTGGCAGCACCAGCCCAGGGCAAAGGATTCTTTGGGCAGCTGCTGTGGATGGAGCCAGAGTGGGGAGTTGCCCAGATCCTTTAGTGATGTTCCCCAGGCCCTATGAACAAGCCCAGTCACCTTGGTAGGGCCTGGGGCTGGGGTCAGCCTCACTGCCTGCTTATTGCCTCTTTCTCAGAGTCCTATTTCCTCCCCATTTGCCCCTGAACGTGGGGGACCAGGTGGGGAGCTGTCCGGTGCTACCACACCATGCCATCAGTGGACTAGGCCACAGCAGCCACCAGGGATGGACCCTGGAAGCTCCCGGCCAGAGAGTGCCTCTCCCCTCTGCCATCCACACTAGGTCTTTGGTGGGGGGGACCCCAAAGCCATTCTGGGAAGGGCTTCAGAGGAAGGTCCAGCCTAGGCCCCCACGAGGCTGGCAGCCCCCCATCCCTGCCCCCAGACCTCCTCGAGAAGCACAGTCTAACTCACCGCAGGCTCCTGAGCCTGCCTCTGCCTGCTTTCCCACCCCCCCAATCCACTTCTCTGGCCCAGCCCATGTTACTTTGGCCCTTGGTTTTCTTAATAGATTGGAGGTTCCCAAGAGGCCCTCCAGGGGAGTAAAAATGGGCGTTTCCCTTGTGGGCAGCTGCAGGCCCCATGCCTCGCCTTCCTCTCTGGCAGGGTCCTATCCTGGGCAGGGGCCCTGGGGCTGGGCCCAGAGTCCAGCTGTCCAGCTGCTCCTTTCCCAGTTTGAATTCAATAAATCCGTCCACTCCCCTTTTGTGGGGGTGAATGTTTTAACAGCTAAGGGTGCATCCTTCATGGTTTGGGATTGCGTCTGTCTTGGGGACACTTCCTTTCCCTGTTCCCTTTGGTCCTTGCTCTGGTGGGATGTTAAAGCAAGTGTTGAGAGAGTGGCCACAGCCTAGGCCCTGACTGGGGTGAGGGGTCGTGTCCATATCTAAATGCTATTTAGACTTGGGGAGGTAGAGGTCTACAGTGCCCCTGCCTGGGCAAGGGTTTGAGGAAGCCAGGCCTTGCACCTGCTTTGGGGTTAGAGAGCTTGGGATCAGTTGGCTGGGACAGGAGGGAGGGAGCCAACAGTCTCTGTAGGGCTAAGTTAAACTATATGCACCTGGGAACTAGGCCTCTTAAAGCTCATTAAAGGTCCTTGCAGAAGTGGGGCCAGAGGGCGGAAAGAAAGGGGTGTCAGGGCAGCTCTTGTGCTCCAGATTGGAGTTTGGAGGAGCATACAGGTGACTTAAGAGGGCATCTCCAAGCCTAGTGGCTATCCTTGGGGACAATGGCAGGAGAAAGGTGATGTTGCTGGGGAGAGATTGCATCCCTCAAGAGGCTGAAGATGAATTAGCAACTCCTTGTGCTGTGCCCTTCAGAAAGCCCCCCCCTTTAGAGAGCCCCCCAGTCCAAAGGTGAAGACAGGCCTCCTCGATAATCCTACCTCCTTTCTTTCAGGGCCAGCCTTGCCTTCCTGGCCCTTCAGCACTGAGGCCTTCAGGCCCCAGTGGTTCCACCTAGGGGAGGGCCTGAGCTTGAGCAGGGCAGTCAGCTCTGGGCCCCAAACCGGTTTTCCCACCTTGGCTAGGGATGGCATATCACCCGTGTGGTCCCCCCCCCCCCTTGCAGTTCCTCTCTCCACCCTAGAGTGTTAGGGGGGAGGGTATTCAGGTAATCTTTTGTCTCTTGTGTGCCCTGGGTGTGGTCCCTTCTAGAAAGGCAAAGCCACTATGTAAGACTTTAAAACAAAAAGTGGAGTCACCACTCCACCCTTGGCTTTCCGGACTCCTGGCACACAGATCCCTTCTAGGTATTGAAAGCTTCGAAACAGACAGCATGAAGTAATAGGGATTATCCTTACTGTCACCCCTACCCCCATCTGTGCCCTGGGCAGGAGGCTAGAAACTCATGAGGAAGCCCAGCCTACCTCCTGATCTGCTCTGGAGTAAGTAGGTGGGAACAGTAGTAGCCTTCTCTCCAGGTGCCCCTGGCCAATCCAAGTCCCTCACCTCAAATAAGGCAAATCCATTTGTCTCCTGCCTACAAGAACACCTTTAAAAAAAAATTAAAAAATTATTGTTGACAGTGATATCTCCCATTTTCTCCCTTTTTGCCCCCTCCACTCAACCCAGCTCCACCCCAGGACTTCCCCATGTGTCCATGGGTTATGCATATATGGAGACCACCTCTTTTGCTGCAACTGAGATCATCTCATTACTGATAACACCAATTGATGTTAATAGGGCTCTTGCCACATGTCAGGCGCTGTACTAAGCACTTTAGATGCTCACACAGCTCCTATGAGGTATGTAAAACCATGAGAAAACAGGCACAGAAAGGTCCCAGTAATGTGCCCAAAGCTGCATCACTAGTGTGGATGCAAGTGCTCTCCCCAGGATGACCCTAGAAGTGGCTCTTTACTAGTACTCTGTGCCCCCTTACTAAGGAAAGATCCATCTTCCTAATCTTCCTAAAGGTAGTCCTCTTGCAATGGAACTGGTCACTGGAATCAATTTCTAACCCATGGAAGAATAGCTATTCGGAGGTAGATGAGGGCTGTGGAAGTGTCTACAGGAGTTCCTGCAACTCATACCTATAACAACTCTCATTCCAGCTATTCTCCCCATTACCCCATTGAAACAAATAGGTGAGAACTATCTGCATTTCACAAAGGAGGTTAATAGGGTTAAAGAGTTAAGTGACCTGCCATGGGCACTGGCCTTCAGCTCTGGTATTCTCCCTGGGAGTCTGAGTTACATATTAAATGCCCCACCAGGACACTGCTGGGACAGGGGGAGTGGTGATGGACCTATGAGCACAGAGCTTTGAGGAGGGACTCAGCAAGGAGGGACTATCACACATTCCAGATGGGAAGCAGCAGATGGAGCCTTCACTTGGGACTGATTTGCTAAAGGATCCAGAAGGGGGATCCCAGCCCTGAGGATGCCAGTGCAGGGATTCCGGAGGCCCTGGTTGGTTTTGGCAGAACCCAGAGTGAACCAGTAGCTGGTCAGCAGGTGGCGTGGGCGAAAATGCTTTCTTTTGGGGAAGCAGGTAAGACAAAGCCACTTATAATCGCCTTTTAAAATCTGGGGCCCGAGAGGAGGTAACCAGGGAAAACTGCAACTCCCAGAAGCCTCTGCTCCCTGGAGTCAAGGACGGTTGTCATGGTTTCAGAAAACAATATGGCCGCTCCCAGCTGGGAGGGGTGCCCGCGGGTTAGAGAGGTGCAAGCGGGTCTGGGAGCCCTCAGTGGCGAGCGGGAGGCGCCTGAGCGGCCGTGAGTTTGGGGCTGGACGCTGCGCAGCTGGAGCGGCCCGTCTTTGCCGAGGGTGCCAATGGCGGGCAGCGTGGACGAGGAGGCTCTGCACCAGCTGTACCTTTGGGTAGACAACATCCCTCTGTCCCGGCCCAAGAGAAATCTCTCCCGGGACTTCAGTGACGGAGGTGTGCGCCTGTGTGTGCCCAGATGTTCTGTCCAGTATGCGCGTGTGTAAGGGGTCTTTGTGCAAACATGTCTGTATGCTTGTGTGCGTATGGGGTGTGTATTGAGGGGGGGGTCTGACTATCTCCTAGGGCTTCAATTGTAGAAGTGTGTCTGAGTGTGTGAGTCTGAGACTCTCTCCTGGGACATATCTTTGTATGTATTTTTGCATCTCTCTGTGTGTGCGTGCACATTGCTGTATTCTATGTGTTTGTCTTATGGGAGTCTGAGCGTGTGTGTGTTCCCATGTGTACTGACACATTCTGTCCTGTATGTATGTAGGGGGGTCTTGTGTGTATATGTGTTACTTGGTGATTGTGTAGGTGTCTGTGTGTTTAAGATTGTCTCTTGGGATTTTAATGTGTGACTCTTTGTGCTTGCGTGAGTATGTTAGTGACGGGTCTCTTGGAACTCCAGTGACGGAAATATGTGTATGTGTATGTGTCCATCTCTTGTTTGCATGTGTAGTGTGTGTGTGCCATATGTGTGCCTATGTGTGTCTGAGCATGTGTGTATCCTGTGTGTCTACACATTCTGTCTCATGTGCATATCTGTAGAGGAATCTTATCACGTGTCTGTTTGTGTGAGTCTGTGACTCTCCTGGGACTTTGGTGTTGGAGTGTGTGTGTGTGTGTGTGTGTGTGTGTATCCATATGAATGCCTAGGATGGGGCCCCAGGATCCTGAAGAGCTCCCTTGGAGATTCATTCTCTGTTAGAGCACCAGAGATCACATTTTTCAAATGCCGCGAGTTAATGGGGAAGGGATACAGCCCCTCTGGGGTATGCTGGAGGCTTAGTCTCCAGCTAGTCACTGATCTCACTTCCTTGACGTCCCTCCCCTATTCTCTGCCACCCCTCCCTCCCTATCACCCTTTTCCTTTCCACATCTCTACCTCTCCACTTGGCCCCACCACTCTGCCACCCCTCATTCTCCCATCCCACCCATTTCTTCACCCTTCCCCTCTCCCTTTCCCATTCTCCCCCACCCCCCATCTTCCATGTCTGCTCCCACTCCCACTCCCACTCCTTCAGTCCTGGTCGCAGAAGTCATCAAGTTTTACTTCCCCAAGATGGTGGAGATGCACAATTATGTCCCTGCCAACTCTCTCCAGCAGAAGCTCAGCAACTGGGGTCACCTGAACAGGTAGCAAAATATCTGGGTGCATTAGCAAGGTTTCCAGCCCCCACCCTGGGCTCCCAGGAAGGGCTGCCCCAGCCCCTCCACCTCCTATGGTCTCCATAGACCAAGCTGGGACTGTGTTAATGACGGTGGGGAGGGACAACATGGACAGAATTGTCTGCTAACAAAATTAAGGGACTCTTCTATTGGGAAGGTGACAAGGTGACTCTGGACACCCAAGAACAGGGCTCAGGTGCGGTGCCCTCCCATTCCCCCAGGGCTATGCACTTAGTATAGCAACTGCTGCACCCCCTTTCTCCTCCCCCACCCCCCTCACTTCAGTTCCTGAGGACCTGGTCTGCCATTCCTCTGTCTACCCCCCAGGAAGGTGCTGAACAAGCTGAATTTCTCAGTGCCGGAGGACGTGATGCGCCAGATCGCGCAGTGCACCCCAGGCGTGGTGGAGCTGGTGCTCATTCCACTGAGGCAGCGTCTAGAAGAGCGGCAGAGGCACAGGAAGCAAGGCACAGGCTCCTTACAGGTGCAACCCTACTCAGACTTCTCCCTCCACTGCTCTGAGGGGGCCTCCCGGCTGTGGAAAGCCCCTACGTTGACGATCAGTGTGGAAGAAGGGTGCCTGGTTAGAGGGAGCCTAGCCTGGGGGACGGCGGAAGGGATGTGGGGCTCTTTGGGGATGGGGAGCGTGAGCTCACAGTGGACCCCTGTGTTTCTTTTAGGAGCTGGCTCCCCAGGATGGCACTGGCTACATGGATGTGGGTAAAGTGGCTTTTATTTTTCCTCCCTCCCAGAGGGAGCTTTTCTCTTGTCTTTCCTCCCTACAGGGGGAGAGGGGAGGGGAAGACAGGAAAATAGGAGTCCAGAGGGTTACTCCGCCACTTACCTTTTCTCAGGTTTGTCCCAGAAGGCCCAAGGGGAAGGTGCCTTGAACCCCCAGAGAGGGGGACAGCTCAGGTAAGGGAGCTGGGGGTTCCTGACCTTACCAGGCCAGGTGATCACCTTGCACAGAGCTGGGATGCTCCCGGGAAGGTAGGGAAGGCAGGAATGGGGGCAGGGGGAGGAGGAAAGGCCTGGTCGAAGGGCGCTGGAAGAGTAAGGGTGAGGACCAAGCGCCAGGCCTCCGCTAAGCTGCTTCCCACCCCAGGGGACCCCGGCCTCCTGGGCGTAGCCAGGGGCGGCATGGCGACCCCAGCCTCATCCTCCAGATCGCTGAAAAGGAGCAGGAGCTGTTGGCCTCTCAGGAGACTGTGCAGGTGAGAGACTGTGCGTGGGCTTGGGGCCTGCAGGGGGAACAGAGGGCAGCGGGTCCCTGGGCTTGACCTCTGCGCGGTGCGGCCCAGGTCCTCCAGATGAAGGTGAGGCGCTTGGAGCACCTGCTCCAGCTCAAGAACGTGCGCATCGACGACCTCTCCCGCCGGCTCCAGCAGGCGGAACGTAAGCAGCGGTGAGCGGCTGCTCAGGACGCCCGGGGACGCCCCAGTGTCTGCCAGAGCCCTGATACTGCGGGACGCACCCACGGACTGACAGACTAATGGGGCGGGCGGGTCCAGCGGCTCCATGAGCCTCTTGGGGCTTACGGAGGCCACTCTTTTGGGGTGAGGAGGGTGAGCAGGGAGGGGGGTGGTGGGACAGGAGCCCTCCCTTCTGAGGCCGAGACTGAGCCAGCTCCTTCCACTCCATCCGGGTCAGGAGAATGGATCGCTTTCCAGAACCCAGAAGTCATGTGCAGAGACCTGGTATGCACCCCAAAGCAGTGACAGACACCAGGGGCTCCACCTTGGAGCTCCCTGTGCTGGGCTATGGGGGATGGTCCCCCTGCCGGGTCCACACCGCTAGAACTGGGTCCCCATCCAGCTGTGAGAACAGTGGTGTCTCCATCCAGGCTAGTTCTTTGTGCCCTGGGCCATGGGGGAAGCTGCCCAGGGCCAGGAAGCGGAGGGAGTCCCTTGCCCCCCCTGGGCGCTCACCTGGGACCCATCTGGAGGCTAGAGGAGCACAGCTGCTGAAGAGGAAGGGGTGAGGAGTGGGCTCAGCCAGGTGTGGGGAAGACATCTGCTATGCCTGTACCAATCACCCTCCCCTCCCATGAGGTATCATTGAAAATATTTGGGGTTTATGGTATAGGGCTCCCCCTATTAAAGATGATGTGCTCTTTCCTGCACTTGCCTTCTCTCTCTGCCTGGATCCTTGTGGGCAGTGAGGTCCTGCCTCCCTTTTGCTGTCCCCTCCACCCCTTGAGTGAAAGAGCCTTTAGGGTCCAGAGAGGATCTTACCTTGTGGGCAGCTGGGTCCTGGGTGGCCACTGCTTGGTAGGTTGATGATATTACATTGTCAGGTCTTCTGCACTAGGAGAGTCTGATTTCTAACTCTGGCATTACTAGACTGACCCCCCAAACTCACCCTCACAGTATCCTCCAACTCTGTCCAAACCCAGACTTCAGATTCTCCCCAAATGTAGCCACATACCCTAAATCATACCCACGGACTAACTCCTAAATGTATCCTCTGTATGACTCTCAACCCTGCTCATAGACTGATCCCAAGTTCTATGGACTGAGACAAGCTTGATTCCCAACCCTGATTACGAACACCACGGCCATGATGTGACCCTAACTCTGATTAGTAACATTGAACATTTGTAAATCCTGAGCCCTCCACAATTCTGTTCCTAGACATATACTCAGCATATACCCAGGAGAAACTTAAGCCCTGTGTTCTGTGTTGTGGGACACATGTATAGCAATGTTCATAGCAACATGTTTTGTAATAGCAAAAGAACTGAAAAGAACTTGTATTCATTATCTGTTACTGTGTAAGAATTTATCACAAAGTTAATAGCTTAAAACAGCACTCATTTGCCCAGCCGGTGTTGCTCAGTAGTTAAGCATTGACCTAGGATCCAGGAGATCAAGATTAGATTCCGGGCAGGGCACATGTCCAGGTTGCGGGCTTGATCCCCAGTAGGGGCATGCAAGAGGGAGCCAATCAATGACTCTCTCATCATTGATGTTTCTCTCTCTCTCTTTCCCTCTCCCTTCCTCTCTCTGAAATCAATAAAGGTATATTTTAAAAAAAAAAAAGCACCCATTTATTATCTCATATTTTCTGTGGCTCAAGAGTCCAGGCATGGCTTGCTTAACTGGATCCTCTGCTTCAGGATTTTTCACAAGGCTGCAATCAAAGTGTTGGCCAGAACTGTGGTCTCATCTGAAGGCTTGACTCGAGAGGGACTCACTTCCAAGTTCATTTGGTTGTTGACAGTGTTCAGTTTCTTGTGGACTGTTGGAGGGCTTCAGTTTCTTGCTGGTTGTTGGCTGGTGACTGCCCTCATTTCCTTGTCATCCAGCAAGGGAGAGAGTTAGTGATAGTCTTATCTAATGCAATTACAGAAGTGACATCCATCACATCTGTCATATTCTATTTATTTGCAATAAGTCACTAGGTCCGGCCCACATTCAATGGGAGGGGGACACATAGGTTTGAATACCAGGGGACAGATCATTGGGAGCCATTTTAGAAGCTGGGCACAGGGAGGAAAAAGCAATGGAGGGTCAAATCTAGGCCAGCGGCTACTTCTGAGAGAAAGCAGAGGACAGAGATGCAAAAGGCACACGAGTGGGTGTAAGTTGTTTTAGTTCTTGGGGCAAGTGGTGGGTTTACAGGTATTCATAAGTGGGCTGTTTATGGACAAATGGGGAGAGAGTGTCATGACCCAAAGATTATGTGGAGTCCAATTCTGTTTACCGAGTTCCTAAAATAATGAAAATTAAAATTGATGATTATTCCTGACCTTGGTCTGTGCCCCTCCCTTGTATTCAGCCTGGTCTTAGGTTAACACTGGCTTCAGCCTGGCTCTCCATCTTCCCCAAATTAACCACATCCCTGCACACACAATGACCCCAGTTTTAGTGTCGTTCTCTCTCCATAGTCTGCACTGGGTCTCCAGAGTTCTGTTCTTTGAACCTTTCATTGGTAGACCGTACTGGAATGCTCCTGTGTGTGGAACTGGTAGAAATGATTTGTGGAGGGGTCTGAGGATCAGGATGTGGGGTAGGGTGTGGTTCTGCCCAACAGGAGCACAGTGGGCCCAGAATGCAGGTTCAATGACTGGGGTTATCCTCTTAAGAGTCTGCTGACCTCCTCCACAGCAGAAGCTGGGCCTGGAGGTTCCTCCACCTTGAGTCCTCCCACCCTATTCCTACTACCCAGATATGCCTGGGTTTCTCAACCCACAATATCTCAAAACCCTACAGATCAAACTCCAAAAGCAATGGAGAATTTTATTAACTGTTTCTTGGGAATAAATATGAAGGTGGATTACACCACACATTATAAATCTGTAACTCTTCTTTAAACATCTCTCTTGTCCTCCAAACTTCCCTTCTGACAGCCACTACCATATTTCTCCCACTCTGCTCCTTTCTCCCCTCTCCCCTTTCTGATCCACACTAAATCAGATTTCTTCTGGTTCACTCACTCATTATTCCTCAGGTGTTTATTGAGTGTCCATTATGTACTACATACTAGGAACACAAAGATGAATATAAAACACCATTTGTATCCCATTTTCACAATCCTGGAAGGGGAGAAGGCATATAAAAAGGTATTTAAATTTTTTTGTTACTTACTATTTTGAATAGATAAAACACATAATTAAAAAACATAAAAAATGAAAACTCTCCTTGGTCCACACACATCTCCAATAGGTAACGTTTTTCTTTAGTTTTTGCATATTCTTCCAGAGTGTCTTAATTTGAATACAAGCAAATATGCACATTTGTTATCTTACTCCCAAGCAGACTACCCATTCTTTTCTGTATCTTTATTTTCTACTCAACAAGATCTCTTATAGATATGTGATGGTCAGTGTTATGTGCCAACTTGGCTGAGTCACAGGGTGCCCAGAGATTTGGTCAAACATTATTCTGGATGTTTTCTGTGAGGTGTTTTTGGATGAGGTTAACATTTAAATGGGTAGACTGAGTAAAGCAGATTGTTCTCCCTGATGTGAGTGGGCCTCTTCCAATCCGTTGAAGGCCTGAATAAAAGAGAATTCCTCCTGCCTGACAGCCTTTCAACCGGGAGATGGGCTTTTTTTCTGCCTTTGGACTCTAATTAAAACATGGATTCTTCTTGGGTCTTGAGCCTGCCAGCCTTTGGACTGGAACTAAACCATCAACTCTCCTGGGACTCCAGCTTGCTGACTCATGCTACAGATCTTGCAACTTGCCAGCCTCCATGAGCTAATTCATCTGTCTCCTTTGTCTCCCATTGGTTCTGTTTCTCTGGAGAACCTTCACTAATGCAAGATTTTTCCATGTCAGTACGTACATTGAAAACTTCCTCTGCTTTTAAAGCTCTATTGTCTGTACCAAATAAAATTTTGTCTGTATCAAACTTAATCAGTCCTCTATGAACATTTGTTTTTAATCTTTTATTATTAATAATACGAGTCATCTCACACATTCATAATTTAATATTGTGTACAAGTATATCTGCATGATAAATTCCAGAACTAGTTAGGTCAAAGAATACATGCATTTGCCCTGGCCAGTGTGACTCATAGCTGAGTGTCATCCAGTGCACCAAAAGGTTGCCAGTTTGATTCCTGGTCAGGGCATATGCCTGGGTTGCTGGTTCAATCCCTAGTCCCAGTGGGTGTGCAAGGCAACCAATAGATGTTTCTCTCTCCCTCTCTCTTCCTCACTCTAAAATCAATAAAAACATTTTTTAAAAAGAGTACATGTATTTGCAATCTTTTTTTAAAATAAAATATTGATTTCAGAGAGAGGGAGAGGGAGAGGGAAAGGGAAAGGGAAAGGGAAAGGGAGCAAGAGAGGGAGAGGGAGAGGAAGCCAGAGCAG